GGTGGAAGGCGGCTCGGCCACCTCCTCTCCGCTCCTCTCCGCTCCGCTCCTTCCGGGAATTGCGCTGCTGGCCGGGCTCCAGCTCGAGCTGGAACAGCGGGCAGCGCTCCCACCCTCCGCCCAACCTCCGTTCCTCCCATTTCGGCGCCTCGGGAGGATGAAAAAATAAAGCAGCTTGCAAGCATAAACTCCTAGTCATATTCTATAACCCTGCAAACCCAGTGTACTAAAGTAAATGGTCTATTTTAAAACAGAGCTTTAACTTGAATTACTTGGCTACTTTTTCAAAGCAGCATCCATAGGGATGGTTATGGCTAAATACTGCGATGAATTACAATACAGGCAGCCAGACCAAATAATATCATTTTCAGAGGTTTCAGGAGGTTCACAGCAAGCAGAGGATACTTTCCATCTCCAGGGGAAAAAAAGAAATCAAACCAGCCGTGTTCGAGTGTTATGAAGTTCTTGACATGACCAACGAGAGGCAGAAACCTTCGTGCACGGGGGCGGTGGGAAAAGATCCTCCGGGTCTGGAAAGAAGAGACGCTGGCAAAACCTGCAGAGTCAGCAGACACATTCATGGGCTGCTAATGATATTTTTGCTGAACAGAAGCTTGAGATTTGATCAAAATTGGACCTGTGTCTTACACTGAAGTCAACTTCTCTTTAAATTTTAGTAACTTCCCTTGCCTCTGTTTTTTTTTCCCCTTTTTTATTGTGACAAGCTGAGGAAAATTATTACCATGGGAAAATGTCTAAGAGGTCCAAGGATGTTTCTTATGCATTTCTAACAATTTACCTGAGGGAGTGAAACTGCAAATCCTCCTCCGCTTTTTTTTTTTTTTTTTTAGTTTATTTTTTTTTCCTTTAAATTCCTCCCTTTTCCATCCCCGCCGCTGCCTCCAGCCTCCTCCACCTTCCTCTCTTTTATTTTATCCCGCTTTGCCCCTCAACGGTCGTGGCCGCCCCTCGCCGCGGAGCCCCCCGGAGCGGGTGAGTTGCTGTTGATTTTTATCCCTTAATGTATTTTGTTTTTTTTTTTTTTTTTTAGTTTATTTTTTTTTCCTTTAAATTCCTCCCTTTTCCATCCCCGCCGCTGCCTCCAGCCTCCTCCACCTTCCTCTCTTTTATTTTATCCCGCTTTGCCCCTCAACGGTCGTGGCCGCCCCTCGCCGCGGAGCCCCCCGGAGCGGGTGAGTTGCTGTTGATTTTTATCCCTTAATGTATTTTGTTTTCTCCTTTTAGCAATAGCGCGAATATAGGCGGGAAAGCCCCTCGGGCAGCGCGGCGTCCCCACGTGCGGCAGTTCCGTGGCGTTTGCTGTTAGTTTTTGCTGTTCATCGCGGTCCGTGCTGCGCAGAGCAACTCTTGTGTTGGCCGGAGCTCGCGGCGCTCCCGAGTCGCCCCTCTTGGAGCATCCGAAAAACAGGGAGATGCCCCTTAAACTTCGGGTAAAAGGCTGGTACCGTTTGGGATCCTGCACGGGAAGTTTCCCTTCCCCTGCCTTCTTTTACTTTCCTGTTGTAAATAGGAGGAAGCCAAGTATGGACTGCTAAAATTATATTTTAGCAGTATATTGGGGGGATCTAGAGCAACCAGGCTTTAAGAAGTTCTGTTTTGCTTGAATCTAGAGAGGAAGGGGGGAAAAAATCCACCCGGAGGTGGTGAGGATGCTGAGTGCATCAGCCCTCGCCTTATCCCGGGGTTTACCCCAATATGGGTTAAAAAATCCCCGAATCTCTGTTGCGTTTGGCCTAATAGCGATCCCTTTAGCTGTGGTGTCTTAAGTGAGCATCGTGCGGGCCTGCATCTCCTCTGGCACCCGTTTGCCACCGGTGAAACTTCATTAACTTTAATGGGGTTGATTGACATTCGTGCGAAAAGTAATCAAGAATCCCATGTTTTTAGAAAGCTCCTATATCCCGGTGACGTGACAGGCGCTCGTTCCTGCTCTCATCAGACCCAATTATGCCACCCTTACTCACACTGAATGGTACTTTACTGCCTAAGTACTCCCTGTGATGCCTCTGTGACTACTCATGTACTCAAGTACGGTGTGGGTGAGCAGGAACAGCAGTTATTCTCTTAAAACTGTGCGTTTCCTTCCCTCGAAATAAGTATGTGCTGGCTAACACCTTTTTCTCGGGATCCGAAAAAAAATTCTGAGGATTAAGCCCAAAGCTGCTTGGTTAAATGACCATACCAAGAACACCTGGTTAAGACCTCTGTCCTACCAGAGAGACAAGTAAATTTTCTGTGCTTTGTTGCTATGGAAAACGGAGGGGAAAAAATGTTGGAGAAGTCACTATCTTGTCCTTAAATCCTGTGCCTGCAGGAATCCATAGCTATATGCAATGTTTGAGGTTTTGTTTTATTTCTATTTTTTTTTTTAATCATGTTGTTAAATATTTGCTGTTGGAGTTGCTGGTAGCAGGATCAAGCCCTCAGTTGTTTTCCTTTACAGTAGCTGATAATGGCTTGGATGTGATGTTGTAGGAAGATAATATTATCTGAAGTGTCCACAGCTCAGATCCTCTCTCTTATTACAGCCCCAGTGGAAAGCTCTGCGCTGAACGGGCTGCAAAGAAAATGTCTAACAAAGCAGAACTGTCTCCTGCCTTCATGTTCTTATTTATAAATCCATTCAAAGTTGGGGCTGATACTCGAGCAGAACAAGACCCGATTCTTCCATGTTTGTTTTGTGTTTTCACTTCCTTGTATGACTGTGCTCATCGCTAAGCTTTTGTGTCACTGATTGAGATGTTGTTGTAATTAACATTAATTATGCAAACTAGATTGTTTTAGAGGTTCCCTGGCTCTGCATTGATACTGTCAACTTATTTGCTAAACAAAAATACACATGTTTCGTGATGCACAGAGAAAACAGATCAACCAGTTACAAAGTAATATGTGCATGGGAAACCAGAGCAAAATTAAGCTGTATTTCCTTTAATTATTTGGGGAATTTTGTTTCCCAGACCCCAGAAAAAGGCATTTATCTTAGGTTAGAAACTTGAGGGTTTTTTGGAAGTAAAACTTTTTCTTTTTTTTCATTTTTTTAAGAAAAAGATACTTTGAAATCTGCGTTCACTTATAAAATACTCCCTAAGCAATGGTAACACCTTAAAATATTTCTTGCGTGTTAATTATAGTGGCATTCTCAAAAGTCCTTGTATCTGACTGTCATCCTCCAAATGCTTTTGAGCTGAGGACTTTAGAGTCTCTGCCTGGAATTCCTGGTGATTGTAATATGTATATGTTGTCCTGGTGTATGCTCTTGGGAAGAAAGAAAAATAGGGATGGACAGAAGAGTTTAAACGAATTCCTTGTTGTGTTTTCGGATCTGAAAACGTACACAGAGTGGTAATTATTATTCCCTGTCTCAAACTGAGCCTCTCTGGCTGTCCATTCAAATGTGCAAGTTTGGATGTGCAGTTTGTTTTAGGTGATGGGGATGAGGTTGGTTTTTTGTTCCTACTTTTACTGCCGTGGTCCTCTGGAAAGCTGGAAGCGATGTCCTGGGGCTGTGCGAAGAGGAGGGTATGGGATTATCTGGGAAGGCTCCGCGGCGTCTGGGAGCTAGTGTGAGCAGCCGAGCTGCGGGAATTGTAGAAATCAATAAAATGCCGATTTCTGTTGTCGCAGATCCCATGTTAGAGGGGAAATATGCTATTTGCTTGCCTGCCTTTCATCTGGACTTGCCAAACCATTAGTTGACTTGGAAAGAGGGGAGAAACAGTGACCTTAACCGCTTCAGAGAGGGGAGTCGGGAGGGCTGTTATTAATCACTGTGAGATCCGTAATATGCGTTGGCCTTTATTTCTTTGTCTCAAAGCTTCTCCTGCTCTTATATTAGAAAGAGAAGTAACCAGATCATTTATCACATTAAGTACTTGTGGAGAGAGACGTGTCAGATCGACGGCCTTATGCTGAGCGCTCTGTAACATGTACAGTGCATTAAGTTGTGATGGGCTATATGAAGCCCCTGAATTGGGAGAAACAGTACATGGGAGCTGTTATTTCCCAATTCAAAGTTTTCCTATATATTTTTTTGGTGTTTAAAAATAAACCTTGCTTCATAATCAAGTTTATTCTAAAATCTCCACGTGTAATGACCTTTGGTAAAGTGTTCTGAAGAACTGTGTTCAAGCAAAGCTATGGGAGGTGCTCTGAGACCCCCATAATGGGATAGAGCAAAGCTGAGGGAAATCCAGGGACTTCGGGAACTCGGAATTGCTCCTTCCGCGGAAATCTGTTCCATGGCCACGTGTGTGGTTGGGATGTGGAGGCTTGCAAAGAGTGTTCCTGTGCAAACAGAACCGGCTCGGGACGCCAGATTTACGGCACCGGCAGCACTAAAGGTCAGCAACTCGGAGCATTCATTAATAATATGGTTCATGTTGACATTTTGTTGGGAATTCTGGTGGGGGCGAAGTCCAGCAGCCACGCGCCCATCCCACGGAGATAGTGGGCACCTTCCCCGCATTTTCTAACCCTAACCGTTTTATTAAGGAATGGGCGGGATTCTGTTTCTGTGCTTTAGTGTTTCTGCTTATCTCTGGTTAACTAGAGCCAGCGAGGGCCAGCGTGGTGCTTTTGATGCTAGAAATGCCCCCGTCTAATGGCCAGGGAAATCGTGAAAAGGCCGAAGGAGTCGGAGTCAAGAATGCAGGAGACCTCCTGCTTGGCTAAAATATTTACCTGGAACTGTTGTGATCCCCTCTTGTCTTACTTATCTTGAGTATTGCTACAGGTATCCGTTTAGGGACAGTTTAAGGATACAGGAATGAAGAAAATAGGGATAAAGGATGCCAGGTGAGCTTGAACAGACCTCTCTAGCTGCTGCAGTGCAGAGCTCCAAGAAATAACACGGAGGATGTTTTGTCGTCAGAGCTACAAAATGCCACTAGTGACAGTGGCACTGGAAAGGTAACCTCTAAACCTTGAAGGGACTGAAGTTCCCCTGCAGCGTTTGCTTCAGAAAGCCCCAAGGAGTGGGCAGAGCCCTAGCTCCCAGGCTTAGTGCATTGAGAACTGGAATCTTCCCTTTAAAGGTTGAAATTGGTATCATTTATTCATGTATTTGCTACGGGGGAAATGTGAAATACCGGCTCTGATTATCAAAGCGCAGTAGTCTCATAAAATCATGCACTTTTTGGGAAGTGAAGCCAGGTGTTCGTGTTCATCTCTTCCTTGCTCTTGGCTCACTATTTGTGAGGTGTTTTATTGGTGGTTTTTCTTTCTGTCCTGCCCAGGTCTCTTCTCCCATTCTTCTTGATTCTCCCCCATCTTTCTGGCCACGTTTTTTATAGAGGGACATTCAATCCATTAAACCTTTTTAAGGGGACTCGCCAATCCCTTGACTGATGCTACTAATTTGTGTGTTTTGGGATGTAAACCTCCTCCTTCCTGTGGGAGGGAATGCACCTGATGGTGACGTTTCTAAGCAGAGCTGATCTTCAGACTGATGTGGTATTCCTGATCTGGGAAATGCAGGGGAAAAATCTCAGGTGTAGCCTTCCTCTCCCCCTCAGCATATCCAAAATGAGAAATCCTTCCTTTGCTGGGAATAAAAGCTGTGAAAATCTATTTCTGTTATGCTATCCATTACTTGAATGTCCTGGTAGCATAACTTGTTCAGGGTGCTTCATGGCTAGTGTATCACTGATAAAATAAGTCTTGAAATTGTTGCTTTTTTTTTTTCCCTGTCCCTGTGTATCATCAGGGAGAATTCCTATGAAAGGAAGGACTGCTGCAGCCTGTGCTGGCACGTGTATTTTTGGTGGTTCTGCTGGATTTCTGCCATGCCACAGAACTGATTAGAATAATTTCTAATAAAAAGGGGTCATTTCAGAGATGGATAATGTGATGTGGAAGTGAGGGCAGGGAAGGCAAATGAGAAGTTTTTCCTGGTCAGGGTGCAGATTTTCTACCATCACCTCTAGGAAACGGCTCCTGCCCTCCCTCCCTTCCTTAATCAGGGATAAGTGCTCCGTGATTGCCTTAATATCTGTAGCGTGCGTGTGCATTGCTGTTTATTCACTTGCAGCAGGACTCGGGTTGCTTTCCAAATGCTCAAGTCTCTGCTCCAAGGACTCCACACCGTAGAGATGAGCCGGAGGAAGGTAAATAACCGGGAATTAGCAGTACTGGAGGAGATTTGCAGCCGGCGGTGAAGGTGCCGTGCACGTGC